ATTTAAAATTTTTGGTCACAGTGGCTTTGTGACGTCATTTATGACTATTGCGTCACCTGTTATGACCAGTTAAGAAGCCTACATCCGTTTATTTCCACCCTCCAAATTTCATTATTATAAGTATACCCGTTCCAAAGATACGAGGGGGGGAGGGGACTTTTGACTAGCACTGTATATATATATATAATCTGTGAAAAAATTAATCTCATAAAAACTGACATTCTGTTACCTGTCATCAGAGATAAAATTTTAAACTTTTTTCCCGTCACAGAAAACAAACAGAAATTGCCGAATTCCATTTTTTTGGCTCTAGCGCTCCCATTTCAAATAATATGAAAATAATACAGGATAACTTTTGGTGCTCTTTAATGTTTAATATGTTCTGATATGAACGAACTTTCAATCCGACGTTCATTGTATTTCATCAACTTTTTTTAATGCGATGTTTATTGTCCCCCCAAATAGGCATCTTTTATCAAATTTTTCAACCTTGTATGTACCTATAATGAATTCAAAAATACAAACTGTCAGAAAATCGTGATTCTATAATATTTGAATATGGATATTGATATGGGCGTTATTTAAACAGAAACCTTCATATATTTTCCAATCAATAATTGCCTTTCTGAGCGTTTCAATAAATATGTCATAGAGGACTCTTATAGTCGCAATGTGACTATTTAATTTGAACAACTAGAGTTATTTCAGTGAAAGAAGTAGATAAGGCCAAATGCAGTAATATGTTTTCACTAATTCTGTATCGAATAAGTTGTGTGTGATACATGTCGATTCTATCATAACCTCAATTGCCACACCTCCGCACCTGCCCTCTGGTGGCTACCTTCCTCAGGTGGGAAAGTACTAAGTGTGACACATCATTGAAAAACGAATTTTATAAGGAATTCATCCATGTGTTCCGTATTTAAAATTATGATACTTCATTTGAAAAATAATGTAAACAAGTTATGAAAAATTAACAAAGAAATGTACATTGATGACACAAAAAATGCATTTTTTGGTATGTTCTTGAATTCTCTCAGCGATTCGGTTTTCATCTCATCAATCTTCGCAGAGCGCCGTTCTTTCATGGGTCTCTTCAATCTTGGGAACAGAAAAAGGTCTCACGGGGCCAAATCTGGTGAATACGGTGGCTGAGGCATAATTACTCAATTCCATTTTTCACACAAAATTTGATGCCAAAAACTTCTATCTTTTATACCTCTCACTAATAAACTAAACATGCTAAACAGCTGAAACTGTTTGAAACGAGTGAACCAACATAAAAAAATTCAAAAAATCGCCAATCAAATGCACGTAGCACGCAAAATTTGAATATGTTTGGCATTCTAGAGTGTGCACCATCTTTGCGAAAAAATATTCATTCAGACAAATCAATAACGAGTTTGTACAGCGAACTTTTTGTTGTTCACTGTATACAAAAGAAATAACATTTTGCCGGAAACAAAGAAAACACATTTCTGCAGACCCTAATATCATTACCAAGCTCGGCTAAAATGAGCTTTATTTAGAAGAACCGCGTCGATTTGCATTTCAAATGAGCTGAAATCGAATTATGCCTTTATTGTGGCGATGGACAAGAAATATGTAAGAGACAGAAGATATTTTCAATTGGAAAACTTCGCCACAGCTTTATTAAATTTGGAAATAAGAGAAGAACGCCGGTTATGAAACGACATTACTTACCCCCTATAATTGCAAGTTACGCTCCACTGAATTGCAGTCTTATTAGGCGGTTTGCTTTTATTTTCGTTTTCGTTCTTTGCTTGATCGATTTTCAATCGAAAGACAAGTTGAATATAACTGAACTAGCCTCTACAGCACAATAAGTGGTTATACAGGGGCCTCTCAACATCTTTCTCCTCAACCGTATTTTGGTGACCTGTTTTGACTTTCAATTTCAATTCAATATAAAGAAAAAACGATGGAAAGTGAGGAAGGTAGCAAACTTTTGTTTATTGTGCGAAGAAAGAAAATTTCCAATCTTTGCTCCAGTAAATTTTCATGGCTGAAACTGGTAGTCAGTACATCAGATGGTTTCTATTGTGACTGATCTTTTCCAATTGATACCTTTAGGTGATGAACTCATTATTTGAATATCTATCATTCAATTTCAACAACCAAAATACAACAATGTATTGATTGACACATAACAGTTGTTATAGAAACTCCCCTTGGTAAAAATGGTTTTGAAATGCATTCAAAATTGATGTCTCCATTAGCCTAAGGATTGAAGATGATTCCTAGTATGGCACAGATTAGTGGATACGCACTGATTACAAGTACTGTTAGATAGATACATAGATAGATAGATAGATAGATTTATTAAAGCTTTCAATTTAAACATTTGATAAAACTCAAGTCATAAAAATGATTACATCAATATTACAAATGTCACTTAATATTAATATAAATGAAAGCATGTGGTATAGGTAAATACAATAAGTATATAAAAATGACAGGAACAAATAAGAGTAAATATCACAGATAAAGATTGTTGAGTAGAATGTAATATGTAGATAATATGGAAGTTACTAGGAAGCTTAAATTTGATACAGACTGAAAATGGTTATTTGTCTATGAATTCTTATAATGAATATGGCTCTATGTCACACAACAGATCAAAAACACGTTTTTAAAAAATGTGTCTTCTCCGATCTTCTTTGATACTCAAGGGTATATGGTTGTAGAATTTAATTGATGCGTAATGCGGCCCATGCTCTGTGTTTTTCAATCTATGTTTAGGAACATATACCTGAGCAACTCACATGATACACTCGGTTAGAGCTTGAGTCCATATTTAGAGCCAAGTAACCCAATGAGTTCCAGAGTAAGGTGTAGAACTAACTAACCCACCAATCAAAGGACAGTAGGTTAGGATAGGTTAGGTCCAAAGTGAGTGGGTCTTTTCGAAGCCGATTCATTTGTATGGTGAGTGGTCTTTCGGGTCAGATGCCGAACACTAAAAACCTGATTCGGTCCCTATCGGGCAGGCAAAAGTATGTGCTCTGCTGTATCATCATTTTCCAAATAGAGGCGACACACACTGTCTTTCAACAGCCCAAGTCTCTGCATATGATGATTCAAATGACAGGGACCTGTAAGAAGGCCTGTTAGACATCGTAGTTCATTCCTACTGTAGTTCAACAACTGTTTGATATCAACCTTCGAAGGGTGAATTGACGCATTGGAGTGAGCCAATCTAGAAGTCCATAAATCTTCTTGCCATCCAGGTGATCAATCTTTGTTTGGCAAAGCCTAAAGCGATGC